GTTACTACCCCACACCAAGGGTATCCCCAAATACAACAAAACACACATAATCGCATACCTATACACCATATCACATAATTTTAATTACGAAAAATAATTAAAATAAAATAAGGCGTTACAACTCTCTCCCACTTAAAATATTTTCGTCCTAAAAAATTACCTGATGCAAACAACTCTAGATACGCTTCACGCATCCTGCTCTCCAACTCCCAAGTCATATTTCCATCAGCAGCGCCTCTTCACACCACCTTCACGAGAGCAATCTCCATGCCTCTCAACTTCTTCACCTTATGACCTTCAATCTGCACAGGCAAAGCCTCAACCGTAAGGTTATCCTTTACCTGAAAATCATCCATAAGAATCACATGCGATGGATCTGGAACATACTTCCGAAGCTGTTAAACATGGAACACATCATGCAAATTCGACAAATTTGGTGGCAACGCGACTCTATAAGCAACAACTCAAACTCTTGCTAAAATCTGATACGAGATAATAAACCAAGGAGTAAGTTTCCTCGACTTCAGAGCGTTTCCAACACTGGCCAAGAACCTATGATCTCCTTCTTGAAACTCAAGGTCCTTCCTCCTCTTATCATGGTAACTTGTCTGCCTACTCTGGGAAATTTTCATCTTCTCTCGAATCAGTTTCACCTTCTCAGTAGTCTGCTGAACGATCTCATATCCAAGCATAATACTCTCACCAGATCCATGTCAACACAAAGGTGTCCTATACCTCCGACCATACAAAGCTTCAAAAGGTGTCATTCCAATACTGAAACAATAATTTTTATTATAAGTGAACTCGATCAACAATAAATGACTATCCCTAGAACCTCATTGTTCAAGAACACAAGCCCTTAACAAATCCTCCAAAGACTGTATAGTCCTCTCAGTATGACCATCTGTCTGTGGATGATAAGCTGAATTCAATCTCAACCTCGAACCCAAAGCCTCTTGCAAACTCTCCCAAAATATGGAAGTGAACCTCGGATCTCTATCCGACACAATGCTTAAATAAACTCCATGAAGCTTCACAGTCACCCGGATATAAAACTCCGCCAACTTCTGCAAGGAAAAACTAATGTTAATCAGGATAAAATGCGCCGACTTCGTCAGTATATCAATAATCACTCAAATGACATCATGACTTCTTGGAGTATTTGGCAACCCACTCACAAAATCCATATAAATGTTGTCCCATTTCCACTATGGGATATCCAACGGTTGCATCAAACTAGCAGATTTCTGATGTTCCACCTTTGATTTCTGGCAAGTCAAACAGCCTTACACAAACTGAGCCACATCACTCTTCAATCCAGGCAATCAAAATAACTTCTTCAAATCTTGATACATCTTTGTAGCTCCTAGATGATTACTCAAACTACTCTTATAACTTTCTTCCAGAATCAACTTTTTCAATTCAACATCACCAGGAATACAGATTCTATCATAAAATCTCATCCCACCTTACTCATCCATTCTGAAGTCGTTATTCTCAACCTGATTACTTCCAGTCATCAAGTCCACCAACTTCACATCTAACTTCTGACTCTCTTTAATATTATTAAGAAAATCATTGTTGATCTTCAGCATAACCAACATCACACTCTGCGGTGTCCTCTCACAGATTAAACTTAAGTCTCTAAACTGTTCAATCAATTCCAACTCTCTAACCATCATGGCAGACATATGCAAGGACTTTCGACTTAAAGCATTAGCCACGACATTAGTTTTACCGAGATGATAATTCAAACCAAAGTTATAATCCTGTAAAACATCCTAACCATCTTATCTGCCTCATATTCAATTCTTTCTGATTGAATAGGTACCTCAAACTCTTGTGGTCACTATACACTCCAAATATGGAACCATAAAGTTAATGCCTCCAAATCTTTAACATAAACACCACTGTAGTCAAATCCAAATCATAAGTAGGATAATTTCTCTCATGAACTCTCAGTTTTCGTAAAGCATAAGCTACAACTTTACCATCTTGCATTCACACACCACTTAAACCTATCAAATACGCATCGCAGTACACCACAAATGGTTTATCCAAATCAGGTAGAATCAAAATTAGGGTTGTAGTCAATCTCTTATTCAGCTCAATGAAACTCTTCTCACAATAAATATCCCACACAAAAGCTTTACCTTTACAAGTAAACTGAGTCAACGGAAGTGCTAATTTAGAAAAGCCTTCAATAAACCTATGGTAATAACCAGCTAAGCCCAAAAATCTTATAATCTCAGTCACCGACTTCAGAGCCTCTCATTGTAGAACTGCATCTATCTTGGATAGATTCACAACAATATCATTACCTGAAATAACATGACCAAGAAAACCTAACTCTTACAACCAGAATTCACATTTTGACAATTTAGCATAATGTCGGGAGTGTTGAAAGCTTATTCTCTTTCAACACTCCCAACATAATTTGTAAATGTTCAACATGTTCCTCTTCTGACTTAGAATAGATCAGAATGTCATCAATGAAGACCACTACAAATTTATCCAAGTAAATATGAAGATTCGATTCATATATTCCATGAACATACCAGGTGCATTAGACACTCCAAACGGCATCACCAAATACTCATAATGTCTATACCGATTCCTGAAAGTCTTCTTCTGAATATCCATATCCTTCACTCTAATCTGATGATAACTCGACCTCAAGTCAATCTTACCAAACACACGTGCACCCACTAACTAATCAATCAAGTCATCTATTCTTGGAAGTGGATACTTGTTCTTCATCGTCACTTTATTCAACTGTTTGTAATCCACACACAACCTCATACTACCATCTTTCTTCTTTACTAACAACACCAGAGCTCCCCAAGGCGACACACTTGGTCTCAATTTTTTTCCAGCAATTCTTCTAATTGCTTCTTTAACTCTGCTAACTCCGAAGCTGACATCCTATATGGTGTCATAGAAACAGGTATGGTACCAGGGAATAAATCAATAGCAAACTCCACCCCTCTCTCTAGAGGCACATCTGAAATATCATTCGGGAACACCTTCGAAAATTCACACACCACCTACAACTTAAAAATCAGGGATTGACTCTCCACTGACAAAAACGCAAACAACACAAGCACCTGAACTTCCTCTTCCAAAAGCTCTCTCAATTCTCTAGCAGACAGAAAACCAACTTCTTCCTCAACATCAGGATTAAGAAACCATATTGACTTGTTATAATAGTTGATATGAACATGATTAAACTCTATACAGTTCATTCACAAGATAACATCAAGATGTCCCAATGGCAAACAAATAAGATCAGCACCAAAGTCTCTATCAAAGATCACCATAGGTAACGCTTCACTAATTCCATCACCATAGAATTAGCTACTCGCACCAAATTCATCACCCTAGGATTGAGGCTCACAGACCACCGTCCAACACCATGAATGCATGCAACATATTATGCATACAACACAACAACACGTACAAATACCCACACCGTAGTCAATGTACCTCTCGCCACTACTAGCCACCATGCACCAAATACCTGCCAAAACATACAGCAATAACCACACAACAATATAGCAAGTAAAAACCACGCATTTGTACATGTTTCACAAAAATAACATAAACTCACTATGCATCAAATACATGCCCACACATAAAATAAGTTGAATTCTGGTACCAAAGATAATTTAAAGTTAAAGTACATTACACCAGCTTTCCAACGCTTCAAACGGTGCGTCAATCGGACACTCGGAACTCAAGTTATGAATTTTCAAAGTTTTTCGAAAAAAGCAGTCCCAGTGTAATCGATTACCACAAATCGGTAACCGATTACACCCCCAAAAAGTCCAATTTTTCACGTTTTTAGTGGTAACCGATTATCACATTTAGTATAACCGATTACACCTGCTATAAAAGCATTTTTTCAGTAACTTTTTACACGAAAATCATTTTTGAACCCTCCCAAAGCTCAATTTTTCTTATAAATCATTTGGAACACATTTTAACACGAAAAAACACTTTTCTAAAGTACCAAACCCCAAATCGTTTTCATAAAAATTACTCATAACCTTGTTCGACTCTGATTCATGATCACACACGACCACAACTTCTACAACATCATACAGATAATCAATCATATAATTTCAACAACAACAATTGCATCTATATATCATTCTAACAACAATTACAACAACAACCTCAACACATAACATGCAATTCAATCATAATTTCATAATTTACACAATTATTCATTCATCAAGAATATGAGTAGAGAGGAAAACATAAACTTTACATGTTATGATCTACCCACCATTCATCATGTAATCCGTTAGATAATTAAAACTCCACCCTTACCTTAGAGTTTTTGCACAAGGATTCTTCTACTTCAATAATGACTCTTCTCTTCCTCTTTTCCTCAAAAACACGTACTGACAAACTCTCTTCTCAAATCCCCCTTATATTATTATTATTATTATTATTATTATTATTATTATTATTATTATTATTATTATTATTATTATCTTCCAAATAAATAATAACAAATAATAGTAATAATACTAATTATTTACTTTAAATAATATCCACCTAATATTATTCAAATAATAATTACTAATTGATATTACTAATTAGTTACTAACCACACCACTGAGTTCTACACTATTGGTCACACACACCCAACCATTTCTTCAGGGTCTAGTCTTAAGGTCACTACCCCACACCAAGGATATCTCCAAATACAACAAAGCACACATTATCACATACCTATACACCATATCACCTAATTTTAATTACAAAAAATAATTAAAATAAAATGGGGCGTTACACCATCAACAATAACCTTGCAACCCACTCAACTTTGAAACTTTTATTGAAAAACTGTCTTCCACACTTGTGGTTATGAAATAATGTTTTTATCCTAAATGTTGTGGAGGTTAAAACTTTATTGCACAAGACAATAGTTACATTTTTTTTGTCCTTAGATACCACCCTACATCTATTGGCATCATTTTTTTCAAACCTTACATCCTACCATTCAAAATATTATACTCTAGTATAGCATTCTGAAATTGTTTCAATGAAGAAAACTCCATTCCAACCTTGAAAGTAAAATCCTTACTAATAGAATCTTCTTCATTGAACCTAATTACACTAGGCCTGTCATCGCAGCTATCATCATCTGTCCCACTATCAAGTTCATCAGTCATGTAGTCATCTTCAATGACATGTTCCTTGCACATATATTGTGTGATAAATATGTTCTTTGGTGGTTCACAAGGGATTTCACTATCTTTTTAGTTCTAGGTTCACCATCAACACCTTCATCAAACTCTTTCATCCTCTCCTCCTCACTATCATCAAAATGTACACCCTTCAAAAATTCATCACTAGATTCACATAAATTGTCAATATCTTCATCACATATCTTCCCCTTGCCTTTCTCTCTAACCCTATCCATAAAGGTAGACCGGTCTGTAACTAGTTTTGACTTAGTAAAAATCTCAACTTCCCAATTATTTCCAAGAGCATACACAAATAACTCAGAAGCATCTCCATCATCCCTAAATTGTTTTAAATCTTATTCCAAAGAACCACCATCATACTTCCACCACATTTTAACAGCCCCAACATTAAACTCGGGGTCAACACCTTTGACTAAATCACATGCTTCATAATAAGACCAGTAATTTGAATCTTGACCAATATATGCGTAAACATCCCCCCTCATATCTTAAGTTAGGGTCTTTTACAAAATAGTTCTTTATGTAGAACACAACCTTAAATTTACCACATAGAGTTAAAGTTTATCAAATTAGGTCACATACGATATGCAGTAGAAAATACTACCTAAATACATTTACAATTCAGACCAAAGCATACGATATACAGTAATAATACGAGTAAAATGATTCTTAATTTAAACTCTAAAATGATTGAATAAACCAAATTGTAATACATGGGACTACAAGCTGCGAATAATTAGGACTAGAAGAACGCTTGCAACTGAAAGGAAGTAGGGGTCCACGACACCGAAAAGATTTTGGACTGGGACCATAAGAACGCATGCAACTGGGAAGGAAGGAAAGGACCACACAGATGAATAAAAATACGTTTTAGGGCTTTCGTTGGATATATTGTGGAATGGTTAAATACATTTAGATTCTAATTATTTATCTAACCTTATCACAATAACATCTATGCTGGAGAATAATTTTAAAAATAAAAAATACACACTGGTTAATTAAACATGATCCACGTAAGCCTTAGTTAGTGGAAATTAATAGGAGACATGAAAGTTATGGACAACAAAGTTTACAAGGACGATTGTTTGAACAAAAAATTTTAAAGGTTCTAAGATTGAACGTTGGTCTATTTATACGGAGTAAAAACATATTTAACCCTTAAAATTATTAATACAAGTTATGACCATTTGACATATGTAATAAATTAAAATAAATTGACATAAACTATACCTTTTGGATATCATGTACAAATTTCCAGCCATGTTGAGTGTAGTCTTTAAATCATCATGCAACCGTTCCAAAATCCATTTTTTGAGTTTTCTTTAAGGGGATTTCTTAATGCACCGTATATATTACTAGGACACCACGTGAAAAATACTAAAATGCCTATAGACTCCAAATATGCATATCCGGATGCACCCCAAACACACACAACATAGGCCAATTCTGAGATACACCCTAGGAGTGTGGCTTTTTTTGATCCGGAGATGCATCTCCGAAATCTTTCTGTATATGCATCTCCGTAGCATACTGAAACGAAAACAGAAGCAAAAAACTAAAAAAATTTATTTTGACAAAATAAAATTATCATTCATAACTTAAAATCAATATTACATATGTGATGTTAACATAAAATCAGACATTACACTCCAATATTTATGTGGACGATTCAACATCTTCACAATATCTTTGACTGATCTTGAAATTGTCGATTCCACCTCGATCAAAACTTTTATTTTTAATTAAAAATGTATTTCACACAACCCTTACATTTCCACCCGTCTGGAGCTCATAGTTGTTGAACTCAATCTTGTCTTTGTTGTTAATTAACGGTGAACAGTACTCGAGCTTCACAATTTTTTGATTATCTTTGTTAGTTAGGAGATTCTGCACTTCATATTGCAGATCTGCAAAAGAGTTGTACTCATTGATCTTAAACTTTTGCCTGTATGCCGCGCTAGAAAATGAGACATTTGCTACATTCTAGATGATGTTTATTTGTTACATTTGTGAAATTTTCTATTTGTATGAAATAAAATAAAAACAAGAAAATAGAAGTTGCATGAATATATGGAACTCAAAAATTCTATCATGTATCAATGTTGGTTTCAGAGATGCATTTCCAATATCATTCTATTGTTTAATTCCAGAGATGCATTTGTGTGTTTTGTTTGACAAATGAATGATTTTTTGGCAAGCATCAAAATGTATTGAAATATTTGTAATTGGAAATATTATACTTCATTAATATTAATATCCAATTACATACACTTAATTGATGACGAAAAACTTAAACGAATCGAAAGACTTGTCGCCAGCTAAATATATAAGTATGAGTGGTACCCCCATTTGACTTTTGTGCATTTGATTCAATTTCAATGGTGCTCAATTTAGTGAACTCTTGCATCCTTTCTACAAATCGGTTTGACCAAATCTCGACTTTTGTTGTTGAATGAGTTGTCCACTTCATTGATGTAAGTGGTATAGGAGATCGCATTTCAAATAAACTTGAACAAAATGCCTTAATTTTGAAAGCCACACAATACACATAATATGATTATTTAGATTTTGAGGTAGGGCGGTGCGCATTGAGATTTTAAGGGAGATTGCATGTCTTATAAGATCAATACACACTTTATCATATGCACTTGCTATGAGATGACCCATTTTAGAGAAACACATACATTTTTCCTCTAGTGTCGGTCCACTAATGCATGAGGCGACACATAATTTGATGATCGGCTAACTTTTCACACAAGTAATGATTATGTAAACCACATATGACATTAAACCTTCATTTCTTATTTGCCAAGATATAACCACACAACTTAAAGAGGCACTCACATTTTCTTAAACCGATGTCATCTCGTTTAAAATTTAGTAGAGGAGGTCTATATTTCCCACTTCTTTTGCATGTCATTGTCACAAATGCACTTTTCCTATCTGAATCATTATTCGACCTTTCGATTATCACACCAAATCTCAATTTGGAGGCCTCCGTACGAATCCATTGAAGCATGTGATCACAAATTCAAACTCTTGCTCGTTTATAAATTGATTGTCAATATCTACCTCCTTCGCAGTACACCTTTGGCATCCAGAGACACAACATGTTTGAGAAAATCATCATAGTGCACCATATCTAATGAAAATGAGAACAGATGGAAAAATGAGAACAGACAGCCTACGGAAATGCATCTACGAAAGAGTTCATACAGAATTCGAAGATGTATCTCTGAATTAAACAAATGTTTTTCCAGCTAAAAAACAATTGTAATGTGAGCAATGAGACTTGAAATAAAATGATATTTACATGAAATTCTAACTTCTTTTCATCCCTTTGATGTGATGAAACACAAGAAAGAAAATTTAAAGTGAAAATGTTGATTGAGAATGGAAAGGTTTAGAGTGGAAAACAAGTATGGGACTGTGATCATGCAGGTGGGTGTTTTATCAACTTATTCCAGGAATGTATCTTCGAAAATATCTTACATGCAAAAATGACAGAAATTTCAAAATACCTCCCCAAATCTCCGTAGATGCATTTTCAAAATATCGACTAGACTGTTCAAATATCAATATATTTATTGAAAATACCCGGAGATACATTTTCGAAATATATCTTATTTTATTTTTAAAGATCATTCATTTGATGCGTCATAAGATGGTACATAATGCGCCTGAAAATGAATCTAAAAAATGCAGTTTATTGCATCTTCTCCAACAGTCAACGATCATCATCCCTCTTGAATGTTCTTGGGCATGTGACCAACTTTCAGAGTCTTGATCTGAAAGCTATTTACGATTCTGTTGCATTAACAATATAGCTTCCATTTGCAATGCTCCAAGGAACATTTTACGCTTGCTCTGACCATCATTCTTTACTGATTTGATCTCTCTTGCAATATGAATGGTTAAATTTTTCATAGCTTTTTTAAAAATTCAACCAAAGATGCAACCTAACTTCCGTAAATTGAGCTTCAACATTAAATTGTGGAGATATAAGAATGAAGAATCCTAAGATTTTCCCAACTTTAACATTCTTCTCACACAATTCAACTACATGGATTGCCGTTGTTGTTTAAAGCACAAAATTAAGGAAAGGTTTATTGTCTCCTGCAGAAGATGAAAAACTTTTCAATCACATAACTAGATTCGGTGTTGGTTGGTGGAGTTCTGTTCCCAAACAAGCTGGTAAAGTAATCGTTAACACAACCATTTTTTAATCAGAACAGAATAACCACACGATACAACGCTGTTCAAGCAATGTTCCTAAACATATTTTCAAAAGCAAGCTTGTCCTACATACTTTGCATGGATCAATGCGGAGCTAAATTTCAAGTGGCTACTAGAACCAAAAATAATTAAATACATAAAACCTTACAAGATTAATTTTTAACCTTATGAGTATATGTCAGGGAATAGAAGAGAGGGAATAGTGCTGATATCTGAACAAGAAGCAAATACATTATAAATCAGAGCATACTACATAATTCATTCATCCCCTATGCCTAGCAGTATTGAAAGCTTCGGCGCACAACATCTGTCTGTCACACAACTCGGAACCAGCCAGCGCTAGAAACTTATATATTTGTGATAATGTAGGATGATAATGTAGGATTTGGAGAAATGATTCCTTCACCAGTAATCCCCACAAGAGCATTTACCATCCTTGAAATGATGAAATCTTTTGTTATCTCTGACAATCAGTTCCCTCCCTACAATCCTAGACATGATCTTGATGGCATTGTGGCAATCACCACAGACACGAAGGTTCTTGATAATCCTAAGAGGTGTTCTAGGTGGAGTACTAATAAGACCATACGCAATTGCTAGACGCTCACTGTGGTAAAGCAAAGCCTGCTCCTTTGCTTCCTGATCAATGTCGTGAAGAACATATCTTGTATCAGGAACATATCCGGCGTCTTTCATACTGCTCAAAGCCTTCAACTTCTCATCATCTTTGTAAAGAGTAGGGTTCTTATACTCTATGATTCTGTTCTTGCCATCCAGCATGCTGATTGCAGTATATTTTTTGGGAGGCGGGGTGGGGATCTTATTGGCGACAACCTTTGATGGGTCAAGACTAACTATCAACTCTTCAACATGGTCTTCAAGATCAATATCTCCATGAAGTCGAGCAAAACTCTTGAGGGTCTCCAATACAGTGACCGTAGGCTCAAATGGCAAATTCTTAATAAACTCCCCGGCTTCTTCAAGGTATCCAGATTGTCCAAGAACATCCAAAAGCCCCATGTAATGTTCGACCCCTGGTTCAATTCCATACTTGCTTTTCATGGTTTCAAAATGTAGGTAAGCATCCTCCACAGCCTCTGCACTAGCACAAGCCGATAACACAGCAAGCAAAGTCTCTGAGGTTATCTCCAAACCCAGATCATTCATCTGCTCAAATAACTGCAAACCATCATCTCCCATTGTACTATTGGCATAACCCCGAATCATCATATGCCAAGAATCCATATTTCTGTTGGGCATATGATCAAACACTCTTCGTGCATCAGTCATACTTTTACAATTCCCAAACATCTCAATCACCTTGTTATGCAACTTGAAATCACTCCTAAAAGTAGATTGCAAAAAGTAATCATGGACTTTCTTAGCATCCTCGACAGACTTCGACTTACCGCACAAATCAAACAGAAGCTCAAAGCAATTGGCATCAGCTTTGACACCTTTTTCCATCAATTCAAGCGCCTCTTTAACCTTCCCCTCACTGCAAAAACGTGTCAAGTCAACAATTGAAGGAGGCAGAGCTTGTTCTTGAACAGAACCTCGTTCGTTCAACTGATTAGGGTTTTGGAATTGGTTGTTAGGGTTTTGAAATTGGTTGGGGTGCCCATTTTGGGAGTTCCACTGATTCTGGTTGTTCCATTGATTGGGACTGCTTGGTGACTGAAAGTTAGGGTTTTGAGGAGTGGGTTGCCGAAAGTTAGGGTTTTGAGGAGGTGGCTGCGGCCGGAAGTTAGGGTTTTGATGATGAGGTGGTGGTGGTGGTCGATTTTGAGGGTTCCAAGCCTGTTGAGGAGGAAATCGACCCTGTTGGGCATTATGATTATCGTGAGGAAATTGATTATGATGATTGAAGTGTTGAGGAGGATGAAAGGGTGTGTTGCGATCAGAGGGTTGTTGCTGAGGTTGATGAGGGAATCTACCGTACTCGTTTGGAAGAGCAGAGGTACTCAAGGTTTTGAAGAAGTAGTTGCCATAGACGTAATTTGTTCGTAGCTTGAATGAAAAAGAGGAAGAAAGCATTGTGGTTCGTGCACGCTGAATCAATGGAAACGTCGCCATTTTTTTCTGAATGTGTAACTAGGGCGTAGAGAAATGTCGCAGAAGAGAAGGGTGATCATTTTACTCCGCGGTAAAAACATGGGCTGCTCATTTTATTTTGGGCCTCAGCCCACGGCATATTGTTTCAAGAGTTTACTCTTTTTGAGAAATTCTTATGGCATCTTATATATTTCTAGTGTATTATATAAAATTTTACAAATATTTTTTAATTTTGGAGATATATCTCTGGACACACTCAGACTCTTCTCTTTTCTTATTTCACTCTTTTATTCAAACACAACTCTTCTCCTTCTCAATACACTTCAACTTCACCAAATCAATTTTTATCATGGAAGGCTCAAAGGAACTCAAAGAAATATCAAGAATCATCTATAAGATCATTCAATATCATCAAAACCATAAATTTCAAGTAAGTTTTTCGAGTTTTTGATAAATATTTAAGTTTTATTGTAAATGTGTAGAAATCAATGATTATGGTTAGAAATGTTTAGGAATCGCATGTAACATAGTTTAGACTTAGTGTATGACTTGTTTGTTGGCTCAAAACGACGATCAACTCATGTTCTTTTTCAACTTTCAAGAGGTACATTCGTCATTGAAGTGACCTCTGTGTTGCAGAACATTCCGGAGATTCATCTTCGGAAACACCATAAAACTATTAACTTTGAAGGGTTCCGGTGATGCATATCCGAAATTTCCCAAAGTATATGAAATGCTGAATATGCATCTCCGAAATTTCCTGTAATTTTTTGTTGTTGTTTGCGTGCACTAATGATATGTCTTACTTTACATTACAGACATAATGGCTGACAGAGTTGATAGGCTGAGACATGGTAGGGTTGCTTAGCACGCAACCGTTCAGTGGAAGCGGAGTCATTAGGTTCTGAAGGCTTCTGGTACCTCTAGTCAGGCAGAGGCATCGACTTCTGAGGCGTTGTCTACTTCTGCGGATATTGTTTCACCTCAGATCACTCCACCTTCTTCCTCTTCCCGTAGGACACGGGATTCACTATCTGACATGTCACTTACCTCGTCCTCCTGTATGCATCCGAATTCACCAGTGCCACCTCCTAGGGATAATGCTACCAATCAAGACCCACCTCCTGCTAATGATGTTGTTGATCCAGTGCTACCTCTGAAGGATAAGGCTGTTGGAGATGCCAAGCCAGAGGGTTTTGGAAGAGGTTCATCTGATTTGTCCTTACTTCCTATGTACCCAGACCATATTGGCAGACATGTCTGGGACGGAGAGGTAACATTAGTTGGATTTATATATTTATTTTTTACGTTAATTTTAATTGCTAACATTGATTATTTCTGACATTAATTATTATGACAAATTTCAATAGCGTGATCCCCAAAAGTTTCTTAACCATTGGAGGAAGATTGTTACATTGCCTCAATAGAAGGACGATATGTTTCATTCGGTTCTATTATTATCTGGTCTGAATGACTTATGCATGACCGGGTACAATCTAGTCAACCACTGTTGCACCCAAATTTTTGACCCTAAGATCCCATTCTTTTTTTATTTTATTTTCTGTTGTTTTTGCGCGTGTGTCTATTATCACAGTTAACCAGTTTGTGCAGGTTTGCATAGGATGTTGAGTTCAAAGGGAAATAATACACAACCTCCCAGTCATAACTATTTCTTTCATTCTTAGGCCATTCATGGATAAACACTTCAAAGACATCCTAGATGGATTTTTTTGGTTGTATCTCGCTAAAGTCGTTTTCATATTTGGTTTGAGATCAGGATTTTATAGCACATGAGTTTATGGTATTCGAGGCCCCATTGCTTTCTGGCACAAGAGGGTTTGGATTCAGGGTTTGAAGTTCACATGTATTTGCTAAGTGGATAAGTATGTATATTTTAGCCTATGGAGTTCTTATAACGTCAAGGAAGTTTTTTATTCAAATTACAAAGTCAAAGAGATTCTGCCATGGCGGTAACACCATGCTCCACTAATTCAAGTTTGATAAGATAAGTCCAATGAAGGAAGCCTATTGCTACAAGGAATGAATATTATAGGTATCCCTTCATTAATTTGAACAAATAAGTTATTCGAGGAAAGCATACAAGTATCCAATACAATTTTAATACGAGGAGATTTCTTGCAATCCAACCCCATTACATCATCGTGAATCACTACATTGACTCAAATGTGTTCATGCTTTAAGTTACAAGAATTTAAAGCCTATAGCTCCTAATGTTGAGAATTCACTTGTGCATGACCTAAAGCAACTGCAGGTGAGTGAAGCCACATCCCTCGCTGCTGTTAATGAATCAACTGTTGTCAAAAGCTAATGTATGCCGACGAAACTCCATACCTGCAAGCGAGATAATTAGAAGAAAATTTTATAAAGATCAGACTAGCTACTGATATTTGTAGCATCATGTGCATGTTCAACAATTTTCACATATCCTGTTTGGAGCAACATAAGCATGTCCGTGGTGTTCCTAATAAAAGTGATACCTGAATAACAGACCGAATCTACTTATCATTTGCACTGGCATCTATTTGAACTACACGATCCAAAATCAAATTAGAAGAGTTAAGAGCACCGAAAAAAAATCAAGAAAGGAGATTTTGAGTTCTTTTGACAGCAGCGAACCCACACCATTTGGAAACATTGGGTAATTCTTCATGGTAGGCTTCGCATCACAACGGCACCTCAATCTACAGCTTTTCTGATACAATCAGCTCGAGGTTCTCCTCATCGTATCAGACCTGCAACAACAACGAAATCACAGACCTCATCATCAAATTCCAATCCAATCGGAGCAGGGACTACACGAATCCCATGCTTCCTATTAATCAGACTGTCATTGACAGCGCTTTACAGAGGAAAGGACTAGAGAATAATGTGCTTTTGGCAATAATCGAAACATGCAATATGCAGTCACCGCAGAAGTTCTTAATATGGTTTTTTCTGCATTCGGTACTGTTCAAATTACTATAGTCGAAAGGATTGAGTAAACTTAAGCATTGATTCAATACCCTGATGTTATGATAGCAGCAGCTGCCAAGGAAGCTTTAGAGGAACACTTTTGGGATGTAAATGCGAAATTTTCACAAGGAGTAACCATGTAAATAGAACATAAAAGTCATCCTTTGGTGAAATAGTATAGCTGCTGAGCTATCTGATCTAATCTGCAAACTAAAATAACAAGTATGTGTTTTAGATTAGTATTAGTTCATATGATTAAAAAAAGAAAACTTGCAGACGAGCATTGAAGAAACTACCATCAAGTTTGCATCTGAGCTAGAGAGTTTGATATCCATTAATGAGAAGGAACCCCTTGAATATTCAATACATAGCTAATACTATGATGGTTCTTCTGATAGTGCATTTGGAATTTCGGTTGACAGCAGTTTCCAAATTCCCTGCTCAGCGGTCTTTCTCCTCAACATTGACACCATCAGCCGCTGTTTGGTTACTACCCTGCATCAGGAAGAACATAACAGTTCAATCAAACTAACCAAACACCTTAATAATTACGTGATTAACGGTATTATGCTCAGTACCGTATACATTCCTCTCACCAAAGACAACAGTCAAAACCAGGAAAGACTTAAGATGATTGAATGAAAGGCCAGTTGCAACACCTCATGTGGATCTCCTATTGGACCTACGCCCGAGCGAGAATGACGTCAAAGAACTAACCGAAGTCAGAATTACAGACAACAAGCAATTAATATTTTGAGAATAAGCCATGCCCACCTAACAACCATCAAACCAAGGATGTGTACTGCCAAACTCCTTTTTGCTCCAAGCTATTTGCCATCGCCAAACAGAATGATGTGCCAACAAACGTTGCCAAACCTTCCGCAAATCCCAGCTCAGGCCATGAAGCTCCCTTTCATCTAAAATAATTGTTACAAAGCCAATATCAGTTTTGAATGGAAGCCGAAGATTGTCCACCTCCGAGTCCAGATCATGAATTTAGAACTGCAACAAAACCACTCCAAAACCCTACAAAAACAAGTTAAATTAGAAGCAGAGCCAGACACAAAGAGGGTGAAATTCAGTTCAGCTGAAACTTCTCACTTTCAATTTGATCATACTGGACCTTTTGAGTCTTTGGTCTTGTCCACTAATGGAGAATTTCCCATAGTTCAGATTCCTGCATCTAAACTGTAGGCTGCTTGAGCATCAGAGAGTTAAGAGTCACAAACTCAGGTTTGGGAAGAAATAAAAAACAACACGAATCCAGACAAGTTCGAAATATTTCCAAAACAGGGGGATGATCAAAGCATAGTCCAACCTTCTTTACCAATGATAAATTCAGCATTACTAATCAAAGAAAAGACCTCAACTGCATCACGATTAACACCCTGCAAACAACAACATCACAACCAAATTCAGTACGTTTAACATAATTTCAAGAAGGATAGAGAGTTATGACAGTAATTCAATTAATAACAAGGGGGAGAGATTAAAACAATGGTTTATGACCCGAGTTTATGTTCAGGACAACAACATGCTTGTTTCGGTAAGGCTCGTGTCAATAAGGAAAGAAAAAGCCTGTCAACACATTCATGGCATGTTTCAAGAGGGGTTTACCTTTATCAAGTTGTGGCCAGAAACACGTTTTATCAGTTTCCTTATTGAGCTAGACGCATTGAAGAGCCATCAAAGCAAATATCGAAGGGGCCTTAACGCCATTCCCTGAAAAAAACGAAGCAAAATCAATTAGTTCCCAAAACTGGGTAAACATGTCTCAACCGCAATAGGAAAGTCTTTAAGCCCTCAGTTAATTCGTTCTTTGAAATAAGACTATAAGAAGAGGATTGGAGATTCAGAGTGATCACGGAATGAATACACATGAGAATCCACAACACACACCAACAGAAACCTCCCAGAAATCCCCAAATCAAATCCCAACCCAAGAAACCCTAACATACAAAAAACCAAAAGAAGAGAGAACTTATCTTTCCCTAAATTCTGCCGTAAATCGCCTTCGACGGAAATCGTTTTCGCCGCAGCTCCCCATC